AATGAGTCAACTCGCCGAGTCTATGAGATGACTCGACGAGTCGGAGCGGGTTGCCCCAGCGTTCTGGACCCAGTGATAACTCGACGAGCTGAGTGAAACCCTAGGAAGAGCTCTGAGGATACAAGTGGACTCGGCGAGTCACAAGAGTGCACTCGGCGAGTCAGGTCAACTCTGACTCTTGACTCGTATTGACTTCTGTTGACTTTATGGTTGGGTCAAGTATGAGCATTTGAGACAAGGAAGGGGTAAAATGGTCTTTTACCCATTCCAAGGGTTAGAAAGAGTGTAAGATAACTTTTGGTGTATTTGAGTAAGAGTTGGATATTGATTAGAGATACTTATCTAATATGTTAGGCGGAGGCTAGATCGAGGATTTCGAGCACGAGATTTTACTAGCTAGCTTACGAGGTGAGTCTTTTCACCATACTTTACCTAGAGTGGTATCTATGTGTGACCAGAGGGTATATTGTGTTTATTTGAGTACTGTGATATTATTGCATTATGTCTGTGTGATTTATGCTATGTGTTATTCAGAGTTTACAGAGTTAGGACCAGAGGGTCCACAGAGTTAGGACCGGAGGGTCCATCAGAGTTGTGGGACTGGAGGGTCCTACTGAGACACATTGACCGGAGGGTCTTACAGAGTTATAGCCTCGAGTGGCTAATGTGTTGTATGTGGTATTTTGGGGAACTCACTAAGCTTTATGCTTACCGTGTTACATGTTATGTGTTTCAGGTACTCCAGAGGATCGCGGAAAGGCACCGACATGATTGTACACATCTGTTCGAGATTATGTTGAGGATTCTGCGATTTGACTTTTGTTGTGGATTTATGTTGACTTTGAGACACTTATGATTTTTATGAAATATAATATATGTGTTTTATGTGATTTAAAAATGGAAAATTGGTTTGAAAAAAAAATTACGTCGTTACACATAAACACACAGCCACCAAAGATGGTGGCTAGTGGCGGCAAAACGGTGGTGGTGGTGGGTTTTCCGGCCAAACCATCACACATACAACCTCATAAATACTAAAAACAACAGGTACACTCGAATACACACCCAATCACACACTCACAGCCGCCTCCCATGGTGGCTGGTGGTGTCAAACAACACATATCCACACGAACACATACTCGTCGAGAGCTCAACACCGAAGTGCATCCCGATCTCAGCCACTCTCGTGGTGGCGCAAGGCAGTCGGTGAAGGAGGCCAGCCACAACAGCCGCCCGAAATGACGACTACGGCGACCGTGCATCGGCAGAAGAAGACGGGGAAGAGCATTGCAGTTCGACCGGTCAGTGGGAGTAACGGTGTTCGTCGGTCTTTGCGGTTCACAGCTTCATTGGCGCCTTAGAGCAAGATGGCGCTGGATATTCCGGTGCTCCTCCGGTGGTTTATGACTTCAACAGCAGGGTAGCGGGCGGCAAAAGGTGGCGATCGACTATTGGTGATGCAAACGGCGGCTGAGGGAGCTCTCACATGGTGGTGGCGGCTGTAAAAGAGCATTAGGTTTAGGGTTTTGGGTGATGCCACGAGAGGGAAGGGTGGTATCGGGTTTAATCCCGTGTCCATTCAAATTTTTAGACATTAAACAAGTTTGGTCCCTCCCCATAGAACCTTTTCTAAATGAAGTCCGATAATTACCATACAGCCCTCCACTTTGAGAATTATTTGCAAAACTAATCCGGAAATTACCTTACAATCCCCATGATCTCAATTTTTGACATATTCAGTCCTTCCTTCTCTAATCCTTACCATCTAAATCCCCATTTTACTCTTTAGTCCTTGCTTCCCATAATTTATTACAATTCAAATCCAATTATTACAATAAAGATTCCAATTTCCAGAATTTACGTGATTTAGCTCCTTTTGACAAACACTGATAACTTTTTACAGATTACGGGCCACTGTTCGTTTATTAATTTTATCCATTTAATTATTTAATAAACAGGGTGTTACAATATGGTTGGGTTCTAAATGGATTGTCTTATGTGATATTGGTGATGAAAGTTTAATTTTAAAAAAATGGTTTTGTTTGGGGACAAACATAATATAAGTGTCGGGTATTGTGATATTGCCATATTTATACATATATTTAGGAAATATTTTAATACATTTTAATTAATAATTTGGTAAATTACAAAGGTTTGTGATACTTATTAAATTAATTTACATTTTGTAGCCAAATCGAACACTCTTGAAGAATAAGGACCAGAAATGACAAACATTGTGACTTTGGAGGATTGAAGCTTAAGAGAAGAATATCTCAGCAAAACAAAAATCACGACGTGAGGGATAATATTCTAGAAGATAGACACGTGGAAGCCAGTTTCCTTGACAAGGATAATACCGAGATCACGACGTGAGACTATAATTCTCACCATGTGAGGATGGATTTTCGAAAATAATAAATATCTCTTTGCTCATTCGAGTTGGGTTGTTGGTTTTTGACATATTTTGAAGAGATACTCGAGTTTGGAGATCAGAAACCTGCGAGTCTTTTGAAGAAAGAGAATTTGAAGATTAATTCATTACATTCGGTTTGCGTTTATTTAATCATGCCAATTTCTTATGAATTTATGTGTTTACCATCAGCCATGAGTAGCTAATCTAGTTTACTTTCGTTTAGCTAGATGAAACCTTGAAACTACGAGTTAGTTTACTATTTATTGGATTTTATAAAGTTGGCTTGGTGCTTGTGTTTGATTATCATTACCTAGCATGTTAAAGTTTGTATCTTTGTTGCTTAAATTCAATTTTAGTGTAGCTTAGTGACCATTAAATTGGATGAACTTGTTTACCTAGTAGTTTAGTAACCATTAAATTGCTAGAGCTAGGAGTGACACAATCTTAGATAAGTGATAAAAGTAACAACTTTATATGTCTTAGAGAACATAATTATGATCATAATTGTGTTTACTTAATTGACTTAGATAAATCTTACATAGCCTAATTATCATTAATAACTAATTTTGTGTTTGCTTGTGTAGGACCATTACATAATAGTACATGAAATGATGAAAATATTAGTAGATTGGACCAAGATTGCTAATTACATAATAATTGGTAACCAACCTTATTAATTAATAAATAGTAACTAGCCATAGGAAAAAGGTGGATTCGAAACTAAATGAAAGTGTTTTAAATATATTGATTACAATCGTTTTAGTTGAGTGCTTAAGTTAATATGAACTTGAAAAATCAGATAAAACCCCTTGTTAATTATTGCTTGCTTTTAGATTAATTTTTAGTAGTTATTTTAATATATTGAATCTGTTCCATGTGTTCGATACCCAACTTACTTTACTATATTGTATACTAACTAGGTACACTGCCTATAGGTGCATTAGTAGATAAGTAGTTAGGTTATAAATTTAAAGCTAGATAGGTGATATCTTTTGCACACATCAGAAATCTTGAGAGGAAGATAAAGGCCTTGCATAAAAGGGTGGTGTCATTGGTCAAGGTGCAGTGGTGGCACCGGAAAGGCTCAGAGTGGAGTTGGAAGCCCGTGACGGAGAGCGTTACCCGGATATGTTCTAATCTGAAGATTTCGAGGGCGAAATCTTGTTCAATTGGGGGAGAACTGTAACATCTATTCCAGGTAAATGATTCATTTATGCTTTTGGCAATTAAAAGAAGTAAAATGTGGGTATTGTGATAACCACGACATGACGTATGATACACCAGAACGTGGTCATGGCCTTATGAAATGTGCATCATTCTTGTGTACCACGACGTGGCAAGGTTATGGTCACGAGTGGTGGCCGCCAGAGTGCAAACCCTAATTTTATGGGTTTTAGGCCTAATTTAAGGGATGTGATGGCTAGGGTTTTCATATCCTCATCCTCCATCACCTGCCTTACAGCCAAGAAGAAACCAGAACCTCCATTTTTGACCTTGTGAGCTCTTTGTGGTGATTTTGGCCTCTTAAATAAGAAGAGGAAGGAGAAGAATAAAGTGTATTGGTGAATTGTTCTAGCAAGCAAACCTCTCCCACATCATATTGTATAGCTTTTGGACCCTCGTAAGTCCTCAAGCTCATACCTTTTGTGTCAAAGTATGCTAGATCTAGGTTTTTGTCCATTTTCTTCCTCGTTTGAGGTGGTTTGAGTGTTGGGATTTCATAAAGTTAGCAACTTTATGAGTTTTTAAGGTTCCTTTGTGGTCTCTTGTCCTAGATCTTGAGAGTTATTGAGGTATGAGTTCCATGCTTGAGATCTTAATCTCGTTTTCACCATTTTGACCTAATTTGAGCTCAAGACATGCATTAGGCATGCATGTATATAAAGAAAAGATTTTTATGGAGTATTGGGAGTAAGAAAGCCCTCTGGAAAGTACCAATGAATGGCTTGAAGGATTAAGAGCTTAATGCATTAAGCCGATATAAGTAGCGTCTACGACGTGGCTGGTTGATCACCATAACATGGTGATAGACATTATTTGCGACTGTTTTGTCTCAACATGCCACGACATGGCCAATGGGTGTCTACGACGTGGGTTCAGCTAGGGCTGACTTTGACCATTGACTTTGGTCAACTTTCAAGCGTATTAAAAGTATGTATGTATCTATAGTGCTTAAGATGAAAAGCTTATAAGTAGATAAGGGAAATTGGAAATCTAAGTAGGGCCTTTTGAATTGAATCTTAAGTAGTCTATCAGTGGTGCAAAGCTAATTGCCCCTTTTCAGTAGGGGGCGAAAGGTTATACCTTAGAAAGTCAGCGAACAGCGGTTCTTCTATGTAGGTATGGCGTTCCCCCTTGACTCTCCTAACGTCGAGCTAAGTGATTTCGTAACCTTTTCGTAGCGTAGTAGAATGAAGGCTACGAACCGACGCTCTCTTTTCTATTAGCCTAAGCGTCTTCGCTAACTCGCTCGCCTACTTTTTAGAGCAAGAAGCGGAACTACAGGAAAGCTTTCTTTATCTTTATGGATAACCAATTCATTTTCAAATATAGTTGGGAGACTTTACCCAAGAAATGGGTAAAAAAAATGGAAAGATCGGAACATGGGAATAGCTCTGATACCAATACGGACTGCCCATTTCAATTGTTGTGCATTCTTAAATTGCATACCTATACAAGGGTTCAAGTTTCGATCGATATTTGCGGAGTTGATCATCCCTCTCGAAAACGAAGATTTGAAGTGGTCTATAATTTACTGAGTACTCGGTATAACTCACGCATTCGTGTACAAACCAGTGCAGACGAAGTAACACGAATATCCCCGGTAGTCAGTCCATTTCCATCAGCCGGCCGGTGGGAGCGAGAAGTTTGGGATATGTTTGGTGTTTCTTCCATCAATCATCCAGATCTACGCCGTATATCAACAGATTATGGTTTCGAGGGTCATCCATTACGAAAAGACCTTCCCACTCCCACTAGTTCCTGGTCCCTCCAGCTTCAGGTTGTTTTCATGAGTGCGAAGAAAGCGGACTCCTTTTCAATAGAAAGGAAGAAAAAGAAAAGAAAGAAATATAAAAATATAACAGAAGCCAGAAATCACACCGCATAGATGAAATGGAACAATAAATGAAGAAAACCTGAACGGAGAAACAATAATTAAAGCCTTTTTGAAGCTCGAAAAAAGCCGGAAAACTGTAAATGAAGCTTACATCACCTAACCTAAAAAGATTTGTGCATATTTTGAAAAAGAACCTAAATCTAAGACTACCCATCAAGGCCCTTACAACATCTTATGAGAAGGGCCTCTCGATACAATTTAAGGCCAGTTGCGTACTTGCTAGAGACGGATTCCGCCATTCCCTGAAACATCAGGGCCCAGAAAAAGATTTGGATGTGGATGATAGAGAGCTTTTTATATATCCCCAAAATGAGAGCTATTAGATGAGAAGAGACTTCGCGCCATGGAACATGCCCAGGTCTACCAGAAAAGGGGCTTTCAAGTGAATTAAAAAATAAGGTAATATAGAGAAAGGTCAACATAGGAGAGAAAGTCTTGAAAAAGATTATTTCCGGACGTGAGCCTCGCCCAAGAGGGAAACTCCATTTTGTGCTCGATCTCTTCTGTCATGCATCATGGCTGGGTGAGTTGTCCCATTGCGAATGAACCTCCGTGCTTCCAATCTGGTCATGCACTTCTTTAAGATGTGGAACCTGGGAGCTTTCCTCTTATAAATAAATAGGGCTAAATCTTTCGTAGGGGGGTAAGGATGGTGCCGAGGTCTTAATAGAAAGGGGTTGATAGTCCCGTCTGCTAGGCTTTTCCGAACTTCCCTTCGCCTTTCTCTCTCTTAGTTAAGGGGGTTTCAGAGAATCATCCGAACGAGATACGGTTGTCAAATGGGGGAAGAGGAACGAGAGGCGTCCCTAAGCTTTCCGGCTCACTAGTAGGTAGAAGTAGAGCAGCCCGCCCTTACAGCCTTTGATCAGTAGATTAATTAGAACTTCGGTACGTGAGTGAATGAAGCAACGGCTACTTAAGGTTGTTTCCGATCTCAACGGTCAACTTAAGGAGACCCAAGCACAGATTGAGTGGGTAATCTGACCATTGTTGACTTTGGTCAACTTAAGGGGAGTTGATTGATATTGGGGGTGCCCAGCTAATTGAGCTAAGTAGGGCCTTTTGAATTGAATCTAAACACTTTTGAATTGAATCTTAAGTAGTCTATCAGTGGTGGATATTAGATATAATACAATTCCTCTTTGAATATCTAATTCCAAGAGGAAGGTTCAGAAACCACACCTGATAATCCAATATCTGTCTATCTACTTACACAAGCAATCACCTATAATACAAGCACCCGCTTATATTATAATAAAGTAAGTAGGAAGGAGCGAAAGCTACTCGACCAGACGGGAGAGGCGACCAAAGGAAGCTGGTTCACCTTCTCTCCTCCGTTACAACATAGGTCGTTCCAATCCCGGATGAAAATATTCCAAAACTTAAGTCAAGGAGAAAGGTCCAATTAAAATGCTTAGGACTATAAAGAAATATGATCCTATCTACAGCAACTCTTCATCATAGATCGGAGAGCTCATTTGATATATCACGAATGCAGTGATCAAGCATCAGGCGAAATGTATTGCTACCTCTTCCTCCCTCCACCATTCTATAAGCAAATGCTTGCGGGTAGGATTTATCTCCAGAACCATCTTTCTTATGCAATTCGAGGAGAAGCGAGTAAACTTGCCTGCACCCTAATTCTTGGTAGAGTTATCAAAGAACTCCCTCGCTTGGCACAACAGCAAAGAGAACTACAATTCCAACTGGATCCAATGAGAAGAGAATTCGAACACCAACCCTTAAGACTGTAATTGGCTTGCTAGTCTTTTCCCTTGCGCTTGATAACTCTTCTGACAAGGAGTCTGCAATTGGAGGAGGGGCGAATGGAAGTACTTCACACTGAACACTCGCTTACGAAATGGAACAGAACTCTCAGGATTCGAGAAGGACTAGGCAGGCTCTTTAGGGCGATTATCCTCTTCCTTAGACATAAAGTTAGACCCACTAGGTAAATAAAGGAATTACCAAGGTAAGACACATATCGCAATATTACATCTACCTTTGCCTTACCCACAGAAAGCCTTCGCACAGATTTCCTTCCAACGTTTTTAGCAAAGGCCCGGAGAGAAAGCATAATCTAGTTAGTAGTCCTACAGAAGCCAGAATCAATCCTATAGATTAGAAACTGTAACCTATAATCTTGATGCACTCTAATACCTAAAATATTATATGCATATCCTCACCAGGGAATATGCGCAGAAAAAAGCACCTTTTTTCACTTTATCACTGGATTGCGAACTTACTTATCCTTTTGATGAGAATGCCACTACTCTTACTTACTATCTTCAAACCCGCCTATTGGCGTGTCTGGATCAGGTGAATCGCTTGGCTAGATATATCCTTAAGCGAGATATCGTTAACTCCTTAGTTCCTTAGAAAAGGATAATAAGGGAGAAGAAAAACCCTAGCTTTCTGTCGATCCTCCAACTTGCGTCAGATCCTTTTGCCCCTTACTCTGCTGGATTGAAAGCGGATGCAAGAGAACTATCAATGGTTGCAAGTAGAACTGCCATGGAACTATATGGATAGCAACTCCCACCGGATGGAGATATCTTAACTTTGATTTCAAGCCTCTGTCTTTCGCTTGCCTAAGGTTAAGGTAAGAAAAAGAGACAGCTACTGGACACTACGGGGACTATAAGCGTTCTAACAGAACTGGCTTGTTGAACGGAACTCAGACTAGAGATATCAAATGACCTAGGGGACTGGACCTCTAGATGTAGCACTGGATGTAAGAAAAAACTCGACTGCCAAAGCAGCACTTAGCACTCCATTGTTCTATTACCCCAAGGCCTCCTCGGTCTTCTTGGACTTGGTTTCTATCTGATTTAACCCGCACTGCTAATGTAGGCTTTTTGGGGGTAATGGCATCGGCACATTATTCGTCTAAATAAGTTATATTTCGTCTTCCAATAGTTCTGACCCGAAAAGTGAGCCCCGAAAGTTCTAAATAATATAACGTGTGGTATTACCGTTTTCGAAGTAACTAAATGCTAGATCTAACAATACAAGGGCAATGATCAGAAATGCCTCTAGGCAAAAATGCCGCTTCAGTAATAGCCTATCTTTTCTCTAGCCTGGAGCCGGCACTCCTAAACCTAAAGCAGTTAGCAAGCAGTTAACCATCTTTCTCAATATCCTCTACGCCTACTTCTCTTCCGAATCCAAGACTTGTTTCAAACTTTAAAGCAGTCAATCAAGCAGCACTTACCGCTATTCCATATATAGCATAGAGCTCTTACACAGCGCCTAATAGGCTAGCTGAACTATAAAGGCTGGATTTCCCCGATGGAGAGGCAACCAAAAGGCTGTGCTCAGTCTTTTCAGAATCGGATTGGACTGGAGAAGAGAAAGCAATTCATGCAGAATCGGACTGGAGAATGCGATTCATGCATAATCGGATTGGACTAAAGAATGCCATTAATTGCTATATGAAGTGGAATAGCCAGATGCGAACTGGTGTTACCAGCACAAGATGCAAATAGGTTGCCCAGACGAGGTCTTTCATCCACTAGTACGAGGAAGGAAGGCAGTTCTATCAAATCTAAAATGGGATTTTTAGGGTAGTTTTATCTTCTCTGGTTGCTGGGAGATTTGGCTTGCTAGAAATGCATCTGTTCATGATTCAGTTGCTATGTCTTCTTCATCTATTATCAATAAAGTCAAGCACTGGTGTAAGGATTTATTGCATTGCAGCTTGATTATCCCACTCATTCTTCTGGTTTTCATGATTCTATTTGTTTCCAAGTAATGCATATCCCTATGGTCTCCCCTAAGATTCCTAAAGGAAAATGGATCAAATGGGCTCCTCCTCCTTTTGGTATTTTGAAGTTGAACACAGATGGTTCTTCAAGGAATGGCATGGCAGCAGGTGGTGGCATTATTAGGGACTATAAGGGCTCCGCTTTGGTTGCTTTTTCTACCTTTTATGGCCCAGGTACCAACACATTTGCAGAAGCCAGAGCTCCCCTTTTATGGCCCAGGTACCAACACATTTGCGAAAGAGAGCACCGCTTACCCGAGAAGAGAATTCGCTTTCCTTGTTTTTTTGCTTATTCCTAGCCAGAGAAATGAAACTAATCTCGAGATCCATAAACCTATCTATACGCCTAGCATTAAGCTAAAGAAATATCGTTAGCCCTACTACTTTTATTGAAAGGAAGAACTTAGGACTTTGGGACTTACCCTAGCATTCCAATTGAAACTCAAGGAGATGGAACTAAACTGGCAATTTTCCTCTTTCTAGGTGACTAGAGGGAATGCTACTACAGATACAGCAACTCAATCCCGAGAGAAAAGATTTGTGAGGTAAGGTCTATAGACTATAAGGCTGAAGGCTTGAATGGAAGAGCACTCCTACTTACTTTTGGGATAAATCCTAGACACCTTTGACACCTGATCTCCGGTAGGACTCTTATTTGATAGGCATTAGGGGATTTTAGGTTTTGGGGTTTCACTTGCAGATCCTGCATCCATAAGTCTCCTATCCTAAGTGTCTTTCTCTGCATGAATAAAGTTCTTCGACAGGACCATCCCGACCGAGGGCTAATCATAGATCTACTATGGTATTTTCTTCTTTTCTTGGTTCAAATCCTTTTCAGGAAGCATTATATTGAGTAACTCCAAGAGTAGAATCAGCAGCTCACCTCACGTTTTAGGAAGAAAATGAGGAATCACACGTAGACGGACCTGAGCATTCTCCTACTCTACGGAGCTAGAGTTGGGGCTGCTTGACGCTCTTCTCCTTTCGAGTGAATTACTTATGCTCTAATGCCTTTGATCAAATGGAAGGATGGATGCCAGCCTTTAGCAACTTCGTTCGGTACATTCCTTCTACCCCCATGATCCTTTCCCATGTCGTGGAAGTGAGCTCCTTCGTCGCTCCTTCATTCTTCATAACGACTATAACCAAGCTGCCAACCAATAAAGCAAGCACCTTCATGGACTGAGATCGTGGAAGCTCCGTTAGCACCTTAAGGCTGTCTTTA